TATTAGTATTATTAGTATTATTAGTATTAGTATTATTATTATTATTAGTAGTAGTAGTAGTAGTAGTAGTAGTCATAGCAGTAGTATCTTGCATGCACTATCTCTAAACTTCAGCTTCACATCTGTGAAATAAATATAATAATCATTCACTCCGCACAGATGTTGAGAGAATGAGTTTTTAAGAGATTATCCTGTGCTTTGGAGATTAAAACAGCAATACTGAAAGAAACATTCCAGTACAAAGAAAACACCTTCCTTAATAGCTCTTGTCTGTGCTTAATACGTTTATAATCTGATTCACAGCAAATTAAGTAGAAATATTTGCTATATACTGATTAATTCCTAAATGTAACCCCTCAAAAACTTCAGTTTTTTTGTTGGCTTTCTGTCCATATTTAATTAATTTTAATTAGTACTGTACATTATAGATATGTAGTACTTGAGAAGAACATTTGAGCAAGGCTAAGACATAACACACTGACCCACAAAAACAAACACAACTCACAAACTGCTTTTCCATTCCCTTGAAGCAGCAAAAACATGAAGCAGGAGTGGATTAACTGATTAACTGCTTTCCTTGGCTTGTCGCATATGTTTGGCATGGTGGCTCACAAATTGCACAAGCCTAGGATACGGTATTGCTGTGTTAGATACCAGGTACATCTTACCTATGAATTCCCATGAGTTGCCTTCCTTCTGCATTGCCAGAAAGGAGATATGTAGTAAGGAAGAATAATTACAGAAAGACAGACTTTCAGTATTAGTTTTATACTCTCTCTCTTAGAACATTTTCAAAATACATTTGTATACACACACTGGCTGAAATCAAGCTGTGTAAGGCTGATGATTACCTCAGCCATGACACGTTTTGGAAACTGCAAATTTCCAGTGGCATCTTCCCTCTCCTCCAATATTTCCAGCTTCATTCAGGATGCCCTTGATCATGGAGAAGTTATTGGAGGCTGCAGAACATGAGGAAGTCTTTAATTTATGATAACTGTCACAAACAGTAATTTTTGGTAATTAAAGACTTTCTCTCCTGTCCTTAAGGCCCTAATAGCTTCTTGATTATGAAATTGATTCCACAGTAGGTTTAAGAACTCAAAGAGATCAAATTAGGAGTGTGCTAGTTCCAAGAAAAGTCACCATGGCTGATGAAGTCATCAGACTTAGATAATGTGCATCCATGGGTGGGTTTTGTTGTTGTTTAGTCGTTAAGTCATGTCCGACTCTTCGTGACCCCATGGACCAGAGCACGCCAGGCCCTCCTGTCTTCCTCTGCCTCCCGGAGTTGGGTCAAATTCATGCTGGTTGCTTCGGTGACACTGTCCAACCATCTCATTCTCTGTCATCCCCTTCTCCTCTTGCCTTCACACTTTCCCAACATCAGAGTCTTTTCCAGGGAGTCTTCTCTTCTCATGAGATGGTTTAGATTTTGTAATAATTCAATGAATATAATAAAACATACAAAATAGTATTTCAGTGGCAGTACTCATTTCTTTTCCACCAACATTCTGCACAATTTCTCTTATAATACATGCATGATTCAGTGCACCATCTGGGAAAGAAGCAAAATATAATTATAAAGTTAGGGATACTGTGAAGATATGAAATGTAATACTTCCCTTCCCTAGACTGTTAGCATTCACAAACTTGTAATAGCTTTATGGATCCCTATTATCTTCTTCTCACCGAAAATA